GACTCATGCAGTCCAGAAACTTTTAAAAAGTTCTTAAAAACACCGTTATTCCCCTCTAAAGTATTTTAAAAAGTCTACTTCTTTTGTTATTCCTGCTTTATGGTAATTCTGACACCAATTACAGCACAGAAACACCACTAGACCTCACATTAGAGAGGTGTCGGGAGACGAGGCATACATTCCTTAAAGCAGAAAAACACAGGAATTCCTCTGCTGCCCGGTGATCTCCACACCCTATACTTTCTGTGGACAAACACTGCAGGAGAATATGAGCGCTTTGTGCTGACATTTGTTGTTTGCTCAACCTGGAGCAGCAAACAGAGCTGCCATAACTCAGTTTAACAACCGTGTTGAGTTTAATGGAGTGGCCACACAGCAAACTGTTGTTGGCAGTATGATAACATCCAGTGTTATGGTTCAGTCAGCTGATTGCAACATCCCTGTCTCAACATACATGCCGAGCAGCTGAGTTTTAGGGGCTCCAGGGAGTCTTTATCTTTTTTTTTTAAACACGTTAAGCTTCATTTGCTCCAAGTCCTTCATGACTGAGAGCGTGAACTCTTTCATCCTTCATGGCCGAGGGAGCAGAAGCATGTTAGCTACAAACGAAAAGAGAAATCAAACAGAATGAAGCAATACAAGAAGTGAAAGTGAGATGGTCAAAGTTTACATGGAAACTGGAGCAAGTTTCAGACAACCACAACTTCTCTGTGTGACTCTCAGGCTGTGGAACCTTTTCTGTTTAACCGGAGTGTGTGTGTTTACTAGGCCGGTCGCTAACTTCGACTTCGATTTACACAGTCGAACCTGATATGTCAGATTTTGTCTATCGTTGAACGATCGTCAAATGTTTTGTTGTTTTTTGTTTTTGCACTCATTGATCCATATTCTCATTTGCAACACAAGAGATGAACCAGGCTATTTAACTATTTCTCTTTTACGATTTATTCTATGATAGGACTTGATCCATTAGCTCCTGCAGCAACATGTCCGATGTGTCCTTGGACAAGACACTTAACGCTGAACTGCTCCCGCTGCTTCGTCTGTGGTGTATAAATGGGATTAGTTAATTCTGATGGACTCTCTACCATCAGTGTGTGAATGTGAAGGTGTGATCTTTGGTGTAAAAGATCTTTGAGTCGTCAGAAGACTAGAAAAGCGCCACACAAGCTCAAGTCCATTTACCACAGACAAAGAAACAATGTATTTTAACCCTAACCCTTGAAGATGTACTGTACACTCCAGATGATAATATTCCCTCAAAAACTGTCCTGATGCATCAGCAAGAGTTCCAACCAAGCAGCAACCTCATCGTCTTGAAAAATTAAGCCAATGTGGAAGTGTAAAGTCCTGCTGTTAGTTGAGGCTGGCTCCAGGAACACCAGAAGTCACATACACATGACTGGTAAAAAAAAAGCCGTTTTTAAAGCATAAACATGTTTACAGCCTGGTTCAAAAAAACAAAACAGGTCTGATTAGTTACTGTCCTCACTGGCACACCCTGTACGGGGGGTGAATTTATTTAAAACAGCTTTGTTTTGATTTTGAAAATGATATATGTTTTCTATAGTTAACCGACTGACAGGTGGGCGCGATGTAACAGTTCATCAAGAGGATTAAAACCCGCCTCAGCATACTGCATAACCTTAAATCTTAGTAAGTGTATTTGTCAAATATTTAGTCAAATATATCTCATTACAATTAAAATAAGCCACTTTCACCTGACTTATTCAGATTAGCATCTTATTTCAAGATATTATAAGCAAAATAAGGCCTGTATTGTTTGTAATAAGTTAATATATCTGGTAATTGGGCTAAAGAAATTTGACCTGATAAGTGTTTTGAAAAAAGATGTACTTTCTGCGCGCTTGCCGGGTCCTCTCTTCAACTTTGCAGCTTAAGATGCGGAATCACCCTTCGTCAATTGTCAATGTCACTTTTGGCCCAAGCAGCCAATCAAATCATTAAGGAGGCCTTACATCCATCCCCCTGTCTCGTCTAGGAGCAACAGCGAGAGCTTATGTTTCCTCAAATCCAGTTTTTCCCACTTATTTTTATCTGGTCGGCCGCCACAGGCGCTACCAGCTGCTATTCCCCTAGATGCGAGCGAGGCCTGATTTAGTTATAGACGTCTCTCTTTTTTTTCTCTCCAAGATTTATTTTTTGCCTTTATTTGATAGGACAGTGGATAGAGTAGGAAATCGGGAGAGAGCGGGGAATGACATGCGGGGAAATGATCCACAGTTTGGACTTGAACCTGGGCCGCCCGCTTAGAGGACTATTAGTCTCCGTATATCCCATGCGTCCCATTGGCAGATTCTGATTTTCTATATGCAAGCAATTCAGGCCTCACATTTTGCTTTTAATATTTTGAAATATGATTTTGTTTGGACTTGTGATTATGGCTTATAAAAAGTGTAATGAGATAACAATTAGTTAAATCTACTTGCTAAGATTCCAGTTTTTGCAGTGTATAAATCTTTTCTTCTGGTTAAAGTTGCAGTTTGCAGTTGAACTGATTGACAAGAACAACTGCAGCAAACATTCAGCATGTGGAGCATCACGTCCAGAAGAACGACCTCGACATTTAACCTAATGATCAAGAACAATGCTCATGTCTGTCACGCTGGAAAAACAGCATGTGGAAGTGTCTGCATGTGATGGACTCTCCCAATATGCCTGGTGATAACCACATCAGGTCAGCAACACACAGATGGTCATATCCTCTCTTATACCACTCAGACAAACACATGACATACAATAACATTTCAATCACTGCACTGTTTTAAAACATATCAATGGCATGACCTTCTGAAACATGCAAACTTATTCATGGAACCAAGTCGCCCATCACTTGGCTTAACCATCAATGGCCGTTGTATCTAGAAGAAGAAGAAGATGTCCTTATTAATCCTGCGGGGGGAGATTCAGTTTTACACTCTGTTATTAAAACATGTTACACACACATAGGCTGAAATACACACACATGCACAAACAGGATCCGACGTTCATGACCTGATGGAGAGATGTCAGAGGGAGGGCAGCTGCCCAGCGTGGGGGGATTTGGTGGCAGTGCTCAGTAAGTGTACTGGCACCTCTCCAGCTACCAGACTAATGTACAGATTTGGTCCGCACCGGGACTTAAACCGGCGACCCTCTGGTTCCCAACCCAAGTCCCTACAGACTGAGCTACTGTTGCCCCATCTACAAGCTGTTAAGCTTTGACAGATTCAAACATTCAAACTGCCTGTTTAATGTACACAGTCGTCCATGGGCTGTAAAAACTGTTGCTTAGATTTAACTCCCAAAAAATTGAAGCAACATTTTCCAACCACTTTTTGTTAGTTTCGTGAACTTCTTCTTTTTTTTGGTTTAGGGATAGGTTAAACTTTTTAATTTATTTTTTAATTTATTTTCGAACATATTTTAAAAGTAAACATAAATATTACAAATAAAGCAAACAACAATCAGAGGATACTTTCTGTAGAGGCACGATTTCTATTAACAGTCCATGTTTGAAAAGTGTGTGAAAACAAATCCAGTCCTAATCCTTTAAAAGTTTATCCATTCGAACATATTTTAAAAGTAAACATAAATATTACAAATAAAGCAAACAACAATCGGAGGATACTTTCTGTAGTGGCACGATTTCTATTAACAGTCCATGTTTGAAAAGTGTGTGAAAACAAATCCAGTCCTAATCCTTTTTTTCTTTATAGCTTTAAAAGTTTATCCATGACCCAAGCCTTTAAAATAAAGTCAAATAATTCAGATAACTAGCTCAACAAATATCATTTATTACACTCATTACTGTGTAGACGGTACCGACCTTACACTGAATCATATTGACTCTTCAGTTTTATATCTGTTAAATATGTTTATGAATGTTTGACATGTTTTCATTTCCTCACTGCAGCTGTTCCATAAATTAACCCCCTCTGTTGTGATACAGTGTAGTTTCACGTTGGTCCTCACTGCTGTTTTTTAACTTAAATATTCCTCTGAGATTGAGTCTACTTTCCCTATGCTGAAAAAACCCTCTGGATACTGCTCGGTTACCAAGGATTTTGTACTCTGTACATGATTTGGATGGTTTTAAAGTCCACCAGGTCCTTACATTTCAGTGTATCCAGTTTGATTTAGAGTAGGTTTGTTGGTTCTCTGTAGGTGGATTTAGTTATAAAATAACAACTAACCAGAATGAAGTCTTGGATGTATCGACCACTTGACCCCCCTACCAAACAATGATCCAACCAACGACAAGCAGACAACACCAGAGTTTGTTGGAGCTGAGATTTGTGTAACTTAAATCATACTACTGTTTAAATTTACAGGCTGAGAAACACATCAAAAACAAGTATTTTACTTTATACTTTATCAATTTTAATGACTCTAAATGAATGAAATCTTACATCGTGGTGTAAGTAAATGACACCCTTGATTAATGAAACCCGACTAATGAATGTTCGACTACAGGCTGTAGATCATGTAAGTGACCACACTCAAATATTCAGTAAACGCTCATAAATTATTAGACGTTTTCAAACCTGGAGTCTTTGTTCATAATGAACCTCAGCTCGATAATTTTAATGGATGACGAGGCAAACTGGGGGAAAAACTGACAAAACAAAGACAAACCCCAAAGCTAAGGATGTTTTTTATTCTCTGCAGGGACTAAAGCAAGTGTCACAAAGGAGCCATTGTTCCTTGTTAACCCTTTGAAAGGGTTTTGTTTGACGGTATTTGAAGTGAAACCGCCTCTCTAAGGTCTTTTGGGGGAACAGCAGCAAATGTGGACAACCCTCAGTGCTCTATGGGCTTCTATGGTATGTTGCTGGGTCAGGCTGTTTTCACAAAAGGGCCCTCTGCTCGTCAGGTATAAAAAGGAAGGTTTTCCAACCAGGTAGGCAAGCAGTTCAGCTCCAAGAGCAACCACCAGCCCCAGCAGCACCATCAGCAGCAGCAGCATCGCTCCCAGCGACAACACCTACCTGGCAAAGATGACCTCCAGTGGCATGAACATGATGAGCAAGATCGTCTTCTACGAGGAGAGGAACTTCCAGGGCCGCTCCTACGAGTGCATGAGCGACTGCCCCGACATGTCCTCCTACATGAACCGCTGCCACTCCTGCAGGGTGGAGAGGGGCTGCTTCATGGTCTACGACCGCACCAACTTCATGGGGAACCAGTACTTCATGAGGAGGGGCGAGTACGCCGACTACATGAGCATGATGGGCATGAGCGACTGCATCAGGTCCTGCCGCATGATCCCCATGCACAGGGGCTCCTTCAGGATGAGGATCTACGAGAGGGAGAACTTCCAGGGCCAGATGCACGAGCTGATGGAGGACTGCGACAACGTCATGGACCGCTACGGCATGGGCAACATCATGTCCTGCAACGTGATGGAGGGCCAGTGGCTGATGTACGAGCAGCCCCAGTTCAGAGGCAGGATGATGTACATGAGGCCCGGAGAGTACAGGAGCTTCATGAGCATGGGCTCCAACAGCATGAGGTTCATGAGCATGAGGCGCATCATGGACTCCTGCTACTAGAGAGAGACTCATCGTGGTGCAGCGACTAGCTACCGAAAAAAACGAATTGAAGAACAATCAGAGGCAACAAAATGATAAAGAAGACTGAAAGCTGATCTACAATTACAGATGTCTTCAATAAAGAGAATCACAACAATGAAGATAAAGAAACACCAATAAATTATTTTAAATTTACATTTTATGTGTTGGGATTTATTTCTCCTCTTCTTTTTCTTCTTCTTCTCTTTCCACTTCCTGCAGTTTTTAAATGCACCTCATTAAAATGCAAAGTGTGGGGGTCGAAAAGACCATCCATCTATTATTTATAAAGCTCTTCCCATTTGGGGTCAAGGTGGTTGGAGTCATTCCCAGTTCTCTTTGGGCCAAAGGTGGGGTACAACGTGGACTGGATCAAGGTCAGTCACTGGGCTGACATTGGAGCCGTTTTCACACGTGCACTCCTGAAAATGTGTAGATCATTTCAAGAGGACTGCTCAAGATTGATTGACATATTTACAGACAATTGTAAGCACGGTGTATCGTTTTGGTTGGTTAAAAATGGGACAGGGACTGTTGAATTCTGGGACATATTAGTGTTTTATCGATATATGTGGGGACTCGGGACACTGAGCTGGAAAACAGGATGGACTGGTCACATCAGGACATATGTGCACCCTTCTTTAAAAGGTCATCAAGCTCTTCACTTCACAGAAAGTTGGCTGGTTTTTTAGTTAGGCCTCTTTATTAAAACCCATATATGGCCAGGCCCTGTCCTCGGTTGACTCTTAAAGAATCCGATTCATTCTTTATGAAAATGATTTGTCCTCAACTCGCCTCTATTTTCATGATTAATGGTCTCCCCGAGCATTACTTTTAATCAGCCTCTCATTGCGTCTCTTCCAGTCCTTGAGAAGAAAAAAAAGAAATGAAGAAGTCTTTAAGTGCAAAAACCATCAGCGAGGTTAGAAACTACACACTGACTGAAACAACTCACAAGAGAAGCGGATGCATTCAAATAATTGATTGCTCATTTTAACAGGAAGGAAAAAATTCTTGTAATTCTTGTAAAACCCAGCAGACTGACGGGAGAGTTCAGCCGCCATGCAGCTCTGCAGTAATCCTGATCAAGTCCAAGTGTCTGTGGGAAAGTCACACTCTCATGTTGCAGGTCAAGGTGTGTCTCTTTCTCGACCTCGTCTGTTCCCTCTCTCTCTCTCTCTCGCTTCATTAGCAGGTGTAACAGCTCTCAGCCTCCCTGTCAGGCCTAATTAGAGCAGATCCAAACAGATAGCTCTCATTAGTCAGGCTGCTTCATGCAGGCAGGGAGCCGGGATACAATACAGCCTGTGGCTCCTCCGGGGTCCTGCCCACTTCTTCAGAGCAGCATTATATCTGTGACCTACATATCAGAAGATATGACTAAGACATTTTAACTCTAATACTCCAAGTCCATGTCCCATTAACCCACTGACAGAGCAGAGAGTTAGGAAGCTGCTCACAGATCTCTTACTGAGAGCTGAGATCCGTCAAAACCAAGAAGCCCTGACGGAAATTAAAAAGTAGTTTTTTTTTATGATGCTTTTTATGACACAAACATTTAAAATTATATTAAAACTCGACACATGAGGAGCAAAATCCACAGCCCAGATTTGCACACACATATGCACATTCTCAGCGTTGCATGGCTTGATAATCTCCCAACACATTTCTCTACAATAAGACATGTCATTCAAAAACTGATATCTCTGAATTTTCAGCGGTAGGTATTGGTCTCAAGACAACTTTTTGAAGGCCTCATCTCGGAATCAAAATCATTTTTACTCAGTCTTGTCTCGGCCTCAGTCTTGGCGGACTCCAGATTTTAAATCAACTCCACCACTGAAATGTTATTTTTCCACGTCATTACTGGGATTCGAAGGAAAACACCTCTTTCAAAAAGAACAAAAACCTTCAACTCATTAATTATTTGACTTTTATCCCTTCCCGGTGTTACAGTCTGCACACAAAATGAGGATTTTTCAGTGATATTTATTGATTGTCTTGAAGGCAGACTCAGAGGGCAGAACAAACACCTAGCTGTGGGAGTGTCACCCACCTGGGGGAGAGGTTACTGCCCTTTGTGATGTCATGAAGGGAAAATCTCCAAACGGCCTGTTTGAGCACACGTTTACTGAAAAGTAGAGCAGGAAAAAGGACGGAGAGGATGGACTTCTCTCATCATTGGGGGGTTTGTAGACAGACTAGAGACACATATTAGTGTTAGAATAAAACATGATAAAGTGTAATTTGCGCTAACCACTGTGCAGCCCGGCTCCTACAAATTAATTAAAAATGATTAACAACAAATGGATTGACGGACGTGTGCACAGCACTGATTAGAACATTTAAACTACCCACCCTGAGTGTGACATCACAGGACGCTGTGGGAATATGGCCTATTGCCTTACTGCAGTACATTCCTGTTATTACTGCTCCTTTATCTTTTTGAATTGCAGGACACCTTCTCATTCCTTGCTTGTGTTCAGTCAATTTATACACAGACACGGTATATACATGATGTTAGTCATATCGCTCTGGTTCTTGTGGTAGAACATATCTTTTGAAACTTTTTACAGATATAATGAAGCACCTTGTTTGCCGGGCATCAATCTGGGCTGCTGTTCTTTGAAACCAGACTGGGTTGTGTTGAAGCAGCAGAAATCATTCATAACCTCTTCGTTATGTTGCAATGAGAGCAGATTGTTGCTAAAGGTCCAAAGAAGGGTGAAGGAACAAATAGAAGTTAAAAACTTCAGTTTAGAAGATTTCCTCAAGCTGAGTTTTGGTCTCTTGTGTGTCCCCTTTGCTTCCTCCTGTGTCTCTGGTGCCGTGTGGAGAGATCACAGGGCGAGAAAGGAAAAGGGGGGAAATATCTTTTCTCACATCCTTTCATGAAGAGAGGGCCACCATCTGCCAAATGCCTCCTCACATCAACTTTGCACCATTGAATGCAGTGACGGTGCAGGACTAAACCACACAATACTGGAGCCACAACAGCTGACACATCAAGCTCTTCAATTGATTCATTTAGCCGTCTCAGTTTTTTTTCCACACATATCTCTTTACAAAAGACCGAATGTGACACTTCTGCCTGGTAGGCAAAGATTGTGTTTAAGGAGCTAGCTACAAGCAGATAACAGCAAATGTTTTTGTCTATGATGAAAGAGGGAGGCAGTCGACAGCTGCAGAAATTATTCATGGATTGTGCTGAAAATAACTCTGTTCAATGTTTTAATACCGCCTTCTGTGATCTCGGGCGGTGATCCAATGTGACAAGCTCCTGTTTGGTCGAAATCATCCATTTGTGAAAAGATGTGAGCGGGCTAATCCCAAACCAAGCAATGAGCTCATCTCTATGGATCCAGTGTTTATTTAAGCCTGGTAATACGAACAGTGACACAGGTCGACAAGGACATGAGACTTCCTGTAAAAGACAACATCATGAAAAACTACATCATCAGGGCCATTTAGTCCAGCTTTTTGTCCTGCGAGGTCTTCCTTTTTCCAGGCAGTTTATAATTACATGAAAACATCTTAAAATTGTTTTAGTTCCTGGTTCTGAGAAAGTTAATGTTTGGAACTACTATTTCTAAAGCTGTTTAATCAACATAGAGAAGTAAGAAAAAGGCCTTTTCCAAGTCAGATGTTCTTATTTCAGGCATTTTATCCTTTCACATCTATAAAACAGAACTATGAGCAGGGGCGTGTTCAGACTCTTTTGACTTGGGTGGCCCAACTGGGGCACTGATTTATTCAGAGGTGGCCTGAAGTGTGATGTGTGAAACACACACAACCAAATATCAATTATTAAGCCTCAATTCTCACTTCACCAATCATATCTACTTCTGTAGCACGAGATAACGGCAACATTAGCTTATTTTTTTTTAATGACACAAAAAGAAGATGTATGTTCAAAGTCACAATTTAACAGTACTTTAAAAAGTGCATGCTGACCCCTGCACACTAACTTGCAATGCTTTGGTACCAACACATTCTTAGTTAGTTCATTGCAAGTCAGGTCAGCCACTCGTCTTATTGTGAGTAAGTCTCATGATATTGAAAACAGAGTTATAAAAAATTCACCCCTCGTACAGTGTGGGTCAATAAAGATGTTTACTAGTCAGTATTTTTTTGTATTAGGCCTTACAGGAGCAATATGTAACTCTAACACCTAGTGTTTAAAGTGGGTACTGCAGTCCAAATTCAAAACACTGGAGAGAACTTATCCCCCCTGCCCCCTAGGTTTGCGAGCGAGTTGACAAGTCGTGGACATTGAAGCTTCAGTGTTTATCCAGCTCTGCATGGGTCTGTAAACCTTTCTGTGTTCTAACCTCTCTCCATTTTTCAAAATCATCTCCAACATTGATCCTAGTTTGAGCACGTTTCTGCTCGTGGAGCTTCTTAGAAACATGCAGAGGCTTTTTAGGTCGGGTACAATCACTTCTATCTGAACCACTTCTCTTGTCCGCTTCCATCGCTGCAACACCTGTTGACCTGATAACTGCTCTCATATCTGACAAACCGAGGGGCGTCCAAAACGGCCGTGTGGGGGTGTCTTAAAAGTGCCTACCTTCTCTGGTCCAAACAAATCCAGAGCATTCAGGAGCAGAATCTAAAGTTAGAAGGAGGACATACTGGCTGCTGCATTGTTGTCAGAGAAGCCAGCCCTTCAACATAGCATGTTTCATTAATGTCTGATCATGTAGTACCTGTGTTAAAATGTCTAAGATACTCTGGTACTTAATTTAACTTATTTTACTTATATTAACAAGTAATATTTCCTCACTAAATCGCATCTGTTGGCCACATTGTAGGTTATTTGGACGCCTGGGCACTGGCAGCAGTGGCTCTGAAGTTAGTCAAAAACCTGTTAAAAAGAAACAGGGTCTGGCAGGGGATGACTGCAATCAAGCTGCTTTTGTGAGTCACATCAAGACAAGTCTCTTACCGTTTGAAAAACAGCACGGGGTGAAGGAGGCCAG